CATGTAAACTGTCCATCCTGCAGGGAAGCCAAAGAAAGACAGTCAAGCTGAAAATCAGGTAAGATATAAAATATTTCAAGCTTATCACATTTTTTCCATCAATAATTTTAACTCGAACATTTTTGGATGTTTCCAGTACATGCAGATCCCCATGGTGGAGCGACCTCTTCCTCAACCCAGCTTGGAGCCCTCACAGAGAGGAAGCCCCTATGCTGCACCATCTCGGAGATCTACCAAGAGGAAAACTCCACCAAGGCAGCCCAATGAGTTTAGATTATCAAGAGATAATGAGCAGGCTTATGGGCCGAGTCATGTGGGCAGAGAGAGACAGAGGAACACCGTGGAGGAGGAGAGCGGCTCTGTTGTGTATGCTGCTCTTAACCACGAGCTGCCTCAGCGGGTTAATCGGCCACGGATGGAGGTGGAAGAGACCTCAGAGTACGCAGCCATCCGTTTGGCATAAAGACCAAGAACTGCTTGACTAAATCACACTAGAGGACAACTGATGAATATCTGAAGCTGGTGTAACTCCACCAGAGGAGACCTGAAGGACAGTTAGAAGGGAATGCAGAGACTCGAAGTAAAGAGTGTGGATACCAAAAACACAACTCATCACTTCTGTAAAAACTGCTCTTTGATCTTTGAGTTATACCGCACAGACCATCACACCTTGTCTACCTGAGATCCTGAAGACTTGTTAATAATTTAAATAGCCGAATCACCACCCTCACATTTTGGTCAATATTTAAAAGCCTACAAGCTTTCATAAGTGTTTTTACTCTCGCTGATTATGCCTCTGCTCAGTTTGGGATTTAGCAGAGTTATGCTGAGATTCTTCACCAGATGTCATGCCACTAACAATGGGTACACTAACAAGAGCTGTGTTAGAGCATGTTTGATATATATGGGCACAATGTCTCAGCACAGACAATACCACCCAGTGTACCTAGCAAATTACACCTACAACGTCAATCAACCATAAAATACAACCTGTGCCAAGCAAACTGCAAAGAGTATGGTCTGAGCACACACATCATATTGTGTTTAGATTTAAAGCTGTTAGGGATTCTAACACCAAAGCTGTTGCCTCAAATGGTGCTTAATAGAAGCATTTTGTGTCATGTGGCATCATAAGCAGTCATCTCCAGGGCTGAAAAATGACAGAGGTGCCAAAAACTGCAGTTCCTCAAATGTCCACTTGAGGTTGACTACAAAAGTCAATCCTTGTAGTTAAAATATTTACACCAGGAATAACATAGCAGCATGTCAAAAAGTAAAGGCTTGAAAATAATACCAAACTAGCTGGTAATATAACAGCAGTCTGCATTACTTATTTCTGTATGTTACTCCTGTGCAGAGATGGGCAGTAACGTGTTACTTGTTACTTGTTACTTGTAACGCGTTACTGTAATCCGATTACTTTTTTCAGGTACTTTTTTGGAATAGTAATCCCTTACTTTACATAAGGGATTACTATTGCAAAAACGGTAATTAGATCACCGTTACTTTCCCGTAGGAACGCTGCGTTACTGCGTTACTAAAACCGTGATTTTTTTGCGAGAATGTCTCATGACAGTGACGTAAGCGAGTGCAACATTCGTGAAAACAGCTGTGTGCAGATCAACAATGGATAATATATTGAGTGCAGGAGAGAGTATGAGCGTGCAGCGTTTAAAGCGTGGAAGTACTGACCTTATTTTGAGTTTGATTCCATAAAAAGTGACAAAAACATTAGTATCTGTTCTGCGTGGGAACAAAACTTCTTTTTACAGCGAAAAAAAACACCCCTAAACTTCCAAGCAAGCACCAAGTGCGCAACGACGTAATGGGAAACTCACAGGGAAACTCGCAGATTCTTCAACTGACCGCCTGCGGCACACCTGGACCAGGGCAAACCTCTGCCTACGCCACTCCTGCTATACAGGTGAAAATATAGCAACAGGACCGCTAGACTTTGATTTTATTTATTTTCTGCTGTGTTTTACTTGCATCTACAGTATTTGAAAGAGTGAGTGAAAACAAAATAAAGATATTTTATTTTATGTGCTGGAATGTGCAGAAAATAGGTTTAAATGTTAAACAAATTTCTTCCAGTCAGAGAATGTTGCATATAATTAAATTTTTGCTTGATGCATAAAGTTAAAAGATTAAAACTAATAAACCAAGTTTTTAAAAAGAGTCTTTTCAATTTGATTACATTTTGTATGATGGATTATGCAGAAAAAGTAGAATTGGACTGAAAGATCTATTGCTTTCCATACTTTATCACCTATTCAGGTTGTAAATCGTGTTTTTTAAAAGTAACTAAGTAACTAAGTAATTAATTACTTTTGAAAATAAGTAATCAGTAAAGTAATGGGATTACTTTTTAGGGGAAGTAATCCGTAATTAGTTACTGATTACATTTTTCAAGTAACTTGACCAACACTGCTCCTGTGTGCTGCAGCTCCAGTGCTGTGTCAGAATGATGTAAAACAACAGCACTGTTCCTGTTAGCATGTCAGTTCATTAGCAGGAATGTGCACATTGTAGTGAATTTTAGTTCAATTCTATATACACAATCATCCTGCCATTATTCCTCATTAGTTTACCAAATATTTATTAACATGCTACTAAAATTAGGTTCTCACTGTTTTTGTGTTACAGTAAAAATTGTTGAAAATATATCTACTCTGGGATATTAATGCATCATTTTAAAATACTAAAAATGTAGATTTGTGACCAGATCTGTAAAGATGTACAACTTCTGCAGGGATGTGGGTTAAAAGCCATATACAGGTATAGCAAACTCAGGGAGAGAGAGATGATCATTGTTCTGAGGATTATTGTCACTGTATTTGTGTGCATGACACATGAGTAAACTGTCCTCTAAGACAGAGGTGTCACAGAAGCTGTAGTCAGGTTAAGTCGTAGTACAAAACAAATTTTTGGAGATTTTTATGATTGTGTGTATTGATTTGAATGTTTGTTTGTTTTTTGTCATGCACTCACTGTGATGTTCTTCTGTTGCACATCCATGACTTGAATTAACTCTTGAGAAACTTACCTATGATAACAGTAATGGTTATCTCTCTGTATCATATCAGCTATCCACTGACTTTCTGACTACATGAATGACTAATGAGCTATTGTACTTATTGTGATTCTTTTGGGAATAGAAATGTAATATTAATCATTTTGTGCAAGTAAAAACTATAATATTTTCTCCATATCTGTTAGATTTTAAAAAAGATTATAATGATTCAATCTCATCCTGTTTTTCCTGTAAAGAAATGAATTTAAAAAAATCTACGCTTTTGTTTTAATCTGATTAATACCCAAAGTTTCAAGTGGTATATATATACTGAGTGTTTCTGCCTTCAAACTATAAACTCTGGTACTCTGGTAACTCTGGTATGCATCCGAAGACACTCCTAATCAGAAGCAGGAAGTAAAGTCAACCACATATCATGCACTGTCACATTCAGAGCACATACAGTTTTTACACAAGTTCACAGCTGGTTCCTTAAATGTCTGCTATGAAACATTACTTGTGCAGGACCATCCTTTATTTGCTGATCTTCACAGTCCTCATCCTGACTTCAGATGCTGAGATTAAGTGATTCTTATTAATTTTAAATGCTCCATTTCAGTCTGAACACGTCTTTGTTTCTCTGTTCACGGCTGAGTTTAATATTTTTGCTGTTACAGTTCAAACATTGTGGAAATCAGCTGTAAAAGGTTTAAAATATCCTTTACCTTTTGCTAATCACGATAATCCAAAGCAGGCAACTAATATTTTTTCATAGTAATTTACAGGTTATGCTGAAAGGCTTGACCGCGCAGCCTTCAAACCTTCCGCCTTCAAAGAAAGCCTCAACATGAAGGACAAAACAAGACGCAGTGAAATGGTCTTTGATGCTATGCTGGAGATTTTAGTTGAGTTCACACATGTGGACGATCTTTAGAGGTTTTCTGGATATGTTAGTATTACTAAAACAATACCATCCACTTACTATGCTAATCTTGAATCAATATAATTTTTTTTCTATAACTTTTCTGTCATTACAGAATCTCACGAAATGTCACAGTGTAGCTGTTTCACCTCATATTTAGCTTCTTTTTTTGAACATTGTGATCCAATCATAAAGACACCCAGCCTCTAATATTTAAAAATTTGAACACTAGTTAAGATTACTTTAGTAATTTTGGTAAATGGAGTGCACAGTCATTTCTAATCTGTAGCTAACAACATTAAAGGAAAACTGAAAATTCATCAGATCTCAATGGGAAATATATGGACTGGGTAACGTGTTAGGAATGAAAGGATGCCACATTGTGTAATGAAGATGACGATTATCGACCTACAAAGGCCGAATTCAAAGACAGATTGAAAATCCAATTAAAAAACCATTTGCTTCAGACCTAATCCATTTTAGCAAACTGTCACTGCAGCAACTCAAAATGGTACTCAGCAGTTTGTGTGACCCCCACGTGTTTGTATGCATACCGGACAGTGCTGAGGGTGAAGCTGCTCTCATCTGTCAAAAACACAGGTCACCAGTGGTGGACCGGCTTATACTCATATTCTCACAGAAAAAAATCTCACAGCTGTTTTTTTAACTCCTCTGAAGCTTCTAATTTTATGTTCTGCCGCTCAAATGTAACAAAGTGAAAAGCAAAATAATCTCTTAAAGGTTTTCTGCAGGACAGTTATGATAGGTGCTGTCCTGAAAACACAGAAGTTTAAACTTCCAGTTTTTCTGTCATATGATGGTAAATGGCCTGTATTTGTATAGCGCTTTACTAGTCCACCCTGGGGCGCACTGACAGAGACGAGGCTGCCGGATACTGGTGCACAGAGGTGGTACACAGAATAATGTCAGAGGTAAGAAAGGTTTTATATAATGTGTGTTGTTGTAGCTTTATTAAATCCAAACTGACTGAAACCTGTTTTTCTTGCAGTCAGCACGACTTCTGC